GTAAATAAAACTCATTGCTTCCTCCAAACTTTCTAGTTCAATAGGTCATCTACTACACAGATGTCCTTGAATAACTTTCTTCAATTTTATTAAAAGATAATGATATTTTAAGAGGTTGTTAAGATAATGACTCTAGTTTGCTTATGTACATGCCTGGGATATATTAATTGTGACTTTATTGTTACTGATTTTGCCTCTAAAATGTCTTTGCTTGTTTCCGGAATGCAAGAAATATAAACATTCAAAAGACTGTTTTCTCTCCTGATGATTTCTTGCCCATTAGCAGACAAGGGAAAGTACTTGTATGACAGTTCACAGATAGGAAGATCCCAGCTAGCCACATGAAAACACTGCTCTCTGTGCAGCCTGAAACTCACTGAGGAGGCAGCCCTGATACGTAAGGATGGGGAAGGAAGGAGGGTGACGGAAGAAGGCTGACTCCAGGCAGGGATTTTTATTAAGCATTCTATGAAAATAGACACACATCTTTCAATGTACCTAGACGATCACAAGTAACCTCATTAGGGATTGTCTACTACACACACACACACACACACACATACACACACACCAACACCCCCCCCCAGACTTTCTGATCAGCACAAATCAATTCAATAGACAAATGATCAAAATATAGTCTATCCGTTTAGTGTATTCGTTGTTTTCTGTCTATTATCTCTGCTAGTGCTCAGATTGGTGTGAGTTGTCATTTCAAATACATGACCAGTGCTTTAAAGGGAGGTGATCTGAGCCCTCGGTAATTAGACAAACTGGAATGAGAAAGCAATGCTCTGCAGGCAAGGCTACAGTTGTACCACTGTGTCCCATCCTTCTTTACTTTATGCTGATCATTATTAATACTGAGAAAAGTAGGTTAAAATTTTCTTTTCACACAGCAAAACCAAATGGAAAATTAAGACAAGATCTTTGATCACACTGTCTACCAAATTTTGAAGATGCAACAGCAGAATTGGATTGCCATGGTAGTGAACACAGTGGTTTGGAGATTTGTACAGATAGGACGGAATTCCCTGGGATAGTAATTTAGGATGTTTGACCAATTGACACTTCACCACATTGAAATATCTTCTGAATGTTCAATTCCTGTGATTGTAGCAAAAAAACATGATAGGTTTTTCATTCTTTAATTGAATTACATACAACTTGACAAGAGCTAGACTCATCAGAGAGGAGGGAGCCTCAATTGAGAGAATGCCTCCATAAGATCAAGCTGCAAGGCGTTTTAAAATTTAATGATCAATAGGGGAAGGGCCCAGTCCACTGCAGTTGGTGCTGTCCCTGGGCTGGTGGACCTGGTTTTTATGAGGCTGAGCAAGCCATGGGAAATAAGCCAGTAAGCAGCACTACTCCATGACCTATGCATCAGCTCCTGCCTCCAGGTTCCTCCCTTGCTTGAATTCCTGTCCTGACTTTGGTGATAAACAGCAGTGTGGAAGTGTAGACTGAAAAAAAAAACTTTTACTCTCCAGCTGGCTTTTTGGTCATGGAGTTTCATTACATCAATAGAAACTAACCAAACACAAACTATTGTACTAGCGAACCAGTTTTCTTTCTTTCTTTCTTTCTTTCTTTCTTTCTTTCTTTCTTTTTCATATTTTTTTATTGGATATTTTCTTTATTTACATTTCAAACGTTATCCCCTTTCCTCGTTTCCGGTTTCCCCTCTGGAAACCCCTATCCCATCCCTCCTTCCCTTGCTTCTATGAGGGTGTTCCTTCACCCACCTACTCACTCCAGCCTCCCTGCCCTGGCATTCCCCTACACTGAGGCATCAAGCCTTCACAGGACCAAAGCCCTCTCCTCCCGTTGATGCACAAGACCATCCTTTGCTATATATGCTGCTGGAGCCGTGGGTCGCTCCATGTGTACTCTTTGGTCAGTGGTTTAGTCCCTGGGAGCTCTGGAGGGTCTTGTCTGTTGATATTGTTGCAAACCTCTCAGCTCCTTCAGTCCTTTCTCTAACTCCTCTATTGGTGAGATAGACTTTGATGCCATTTATTTGTGTACAAGAAACTATTGACTGTGTAATTAAAATTAATCATGTGCTAGTGCCGCTAAAAACAATAAATAGTATCAATAAGTGTTCCCCAGAGGTTAGATGTTGCACTAAACATGTCATGGTTTGTCACACGTAAGCTTCAAGGCTTGATATGATGACCCCTCTATCATAGGTGAGGAATATGAGGATTAGGTGCTAGAAATTTGCTCAAATGCACGCTGCAAGGATGAGCTCAGGTTTCAGAAACTCCGTCAGAACCGTGTGTGCTGACTTGATGTTAAAGTCGTTCCAATAGATAGCTGAAATCCCACGTTAGAATGATATTATTGGCACACTTGCACCAATTGCCTATATAGCTGTTTACAAAAACTGCATCTTGAAATGATTTTCTAAAATAGTTACCAGAAAAGAATATGAAATGGAAACAATCCAGACTCCCCAAACACATTTTCTATCCTGTGGTTATGCTGTAGTCTCCAGGACAAATTTTATATGTATTTATCGCAACATTTTAGCATGTTTTTTTAAGCCAAAGCATTCATTTGCTTAATAATTATATTTACAAAGTCTCACTTACAAGTGGATTTTTATCTGTACTAATCTACTTACATGTGTTAATGTCTATGTTTAGAAGGAAACAATACGAATCACTGTATAAATCTGTGTCCATTTTTTTTCATGAGACTGATAGAAGCTGTATCTCAGATAACATCTGTCTACACTCGTTTAATCTATGCAGTGCTTAGAGGCAGAAATGAAAGAAACTAAAGCAATAGGCCAAAGTACTAGACAGCTGAGTATATTTTCACAACATACAGTGAGCTGATCTGACAGTGATCTACTTTATTGTAACAGTTGGTTTTTTTTTTTTTTTTTTTTTTTTTG